AGCTTGGTGGCCTAAGCACCTGCTTGGAAACCACAAGGACCCAGTTTGATCCCTGGTACTGCAAGCTGTACCAGCCACTGAAACCTAGCATGAGGGCACATGGCCGTAATCCAGTGCTGGGGAGGCTGAGACAGGAGCATCACTGTGAGTCTGTGCTGCACAGTGAGACCCTGTACCAAATAAATAAAGCAATAAAAGATTTAAAATTTTTAAAAATATATAGATTGGAGGTGTGGGGAAGATAACTCAGTAGAATAAGCGCTTGCCTGGCAAGCACAAGGACCTGAGTTCAATCCCTGGTTCTGCAAAACAAACAAACAAACACCACTAAAATATATAGATTGGTGTAAAGACTCGACTTTGTTGTATGATGATGACTGATGATGATGATGGTGGTTAGATTTAATGAATTAAAAGATATACAGACTACTTTGTCAGTCTGCAGCGCTACCAAGGCATAAAGTTATGAGAGTGAGTGTTGTGTTTTTCTTAGCTTCAGAAATGTCTTATGAAGCAAGGCTGGAGGTGGCACTAGGAAGTGGACAGGATGTCAACATTATTTTGTTGTTTTTAAAAATTGGAATATGAGCAGGTGAAAGTGCAGAGATGCTTGCCCTGTGAACACAGGATGTGGACAGTTATGAAAGACCCTGATTGACTCAGGCCTAGGGGGTAGAGGGGCCCAGGGGCATGTGACAGTTCCGGAGACCTTTGGCCACATGGCTCACATGTGCATTGGCAGGCAGAGAGGAAATGGGACCTCACTGAGCAGTTGTGACTAGGGGGCACTATGAGATGATAGCTCAAAAGCCAGGCATTAAAACAATGACCCAAATGTTCAGAGTAATAGTATCTGGAGACAGCAATCCAATTTTTTAAAGTTCCAGAATCTTCAGTATGTACACTTGGAACTCAAACTTAGATTTCATGCTTTTGCCATCATGTATTAATACTAAAACTAAAAGACTTGGTTTTCTATGTTTCTATAATCCTAGCAGTCTGTATTTTCATAATATGAATTGTTCTCTTTTAAAAGTATCCTCTGCATAAATATCTATGATATTAGTTTGTATTTGGGGTTTTCTAAATAATCATTAATTTGACACACATTCCAAGGTATTTGTTTGTAGGAAAGCATTTATGTATTCTTCTAAGTATTAAAAATACAAAATATGTAAGTCTACCTTTGTCATAAGGAATTTCAGAAAACTGCTGTTTCTCACGCTATGAGACTAGATATGCATGACTGAGACTTAGAAGAGTCTTTAGAAGTTTCATATGGAACATGGAGAATACAAAGTCATAAATTTATTGTGAGCTAAGTACTTCATAAATTTGACTGTTCTTTGCTTTTCATTTTGTCATCCTATCCTAGAACATGTCATGCTAAGACATCCTGGTGTGCTATAAGAAATTTCGTGTGGGCTCCTCCTCTGACTCATTGTTTTAGCTCATTTTGTAACATTGTGGTGCCCTAGAAATTTGTCCAGGGACTTAAAAAAAACTACACATTATCTTCAGGTGACTTTTTTATTCTCAAGACTTTAAATAATATATACAGTCTATGACTGTGTCTGCAATGTGATCTCTCTTTAGAATTCAAGTTCCATATCCAGTTCTCAAGACATGCATCTTCATATGTATGTCTAATTTCTCCACCACACAAGGGGCCCTAATAGCACCCATTAGTTCTCTGGGCCCCCAAACCTAATTTATTCCAGTTTTACCATTTCACTGAGGGCCCTCAAGACCACCCACTCATCACAAAGGAAGAAACCTTTTAACAATTACCCAGATAAAGAAATTGAACAAGATCAGATTGTATCTCTTCCTGTCACTACTAACTCACTCCTAGTGATGGTAAATAATCAGTAGTGCAAGTGAGAAGGGGCAGGTGTAGGGGAATTCAGTGGCATTGTCAGGTGTCTTTTCAAGAAAACTTGTTTAAAGGGATAATATAGATTTGTGTCTTTTTAAAACGAGGAGCTGGCAGACATGGTTGTTTCAGTCACACTCAAGTACTGCTCTTGGTCACATTTCTATGTCTTCATTTCCCCTTGAAAATCAAAGACCCAAAACTTCAAATAGTGCTGTTTTTACACCTTTGACTTTAGTATAGTAGCCTTATCTTATTCCTTCCTCTACTAATTTTCTTTCTTTTGGTTTTTTCTTTGTTTTTTAATTATATTCATATTTATAAACCACCTCAAATAATCTATGCAAGATAGAAGGCATGAATAATAAAATAAATGAGAGAGATAGACAGAGAGAGAGCTGGCCTTCATAAGTAGACAATAAGTTTAATATACTTTATTGAATAAAGACAATGAGACTAAATCATTTGTGTAAGAGTCAAACAAGGCAAAATCCACGTGTGATGTTATGGGTACACACACCAGGGTGGTAAAAGTATAAAGAAAACCGGAGACATGCACCGTAGAAATTAGAATACTGACGGTGCTTGGCCAATTCCTGATAATCTTCCTCCCAGTCTCGTGGAGCACCTTGTGCTCATGCTTCTTTCTCCAGCACTTGAGCCCCAGCCCCGTGAAATTCTTCCACTTTTCCTTATGGGTTTCTGGCACAGCAGCAATATTCTTTTCATTTTCTTCTGCTCCTTCCAATTTCCACCTGGAAAGGAGAATAGGTTTGCTTAAACTAAAGCTTCTGGCATTAGGTAGGGCTTGTTCAAACTCAGTAATGTCAGGATGCAAATCATTACCATCTACTTTTACCTGGAAAAAGTATGCATTTAGGTAGCATAACTTTCTATCTGTGTAGGAAGTCATC